CTGCCGCCCGCGCCCCGCCCCATCTGGCCGCTTGCGCGCCCCATCCCCCCTCGATGGGGCCCGCCCACACCGGGGCCTCCCCCCTCCCGCCCACTGCTTTCTCAACGGCCCCGAGCCGGGGCTGCCCTCATTGCATACATAGTGCGCCTTTCCCTGCTTTTCTAGTGACCTAGCGTTCCGCACTGCCGTTTGGCCAGCCCATGCTCCCGTACCGTTGCGTTTCTCCCCAATGCGCCATGCCACTTTGCCAGTCATACACACGTTTCGATGCGTGCCCTGTCAGCTGCTTGCGTTGCATGTCGCCTTGCTCCACCCCTGTTTTATTGCTTTCTCTGCTTTCGCCCGGTTCCCGTCCCGTTTCGGCGGGGAGTCTATGTTGCAAGCTAGTTCTTGCTTTACCAGACTTTAAGCCCACACAAGCACAAGCAAACCGCACTCACTGCCTCCTGCAGCCAAGGCCGAGTGGAACAACCCTGTGCCTGATTGGACGCCCGTCACTCTCATCGGCCTTGGGCAGACTGTGTTTGAAGAAAAGAGCCCCAAAGTGCTGCAGGAGGTGGGTACCGGCAGCAGAGAGCAAGTGCAGTAGGTTCACGCAAGCGGTGCTTCTGCTCGGGTGCTGTCCCAGCACCAGCAAAGCTGTTCTGCTGCTCAAGTGCTGCCCCACACACCGTAAGCGGCAGCCACGCGGGCGGCGCACTCCTGAGCTGGCTGCCTTGCCTTGCGCTGCAGATCACCGACCTTGCGCTGCTCCCCCTGAAGCTGTGCCAGAAGGAGGTTGGGGAGCTTAGTCGTGGTTACACCTTCAACAACAATACCATGATATGTGCTCGACGTGAGGGCGGGGCCCGGGATGGGAGCCCAGCAGCTTTGGCCGCATTCCAACCCGACACTGGACGCCCTCCTACCAGCCGCCCCCTGATCCAACCTGGGCTGCCCCTCCGCACACTGCCCCTGCAGGGGTGGAGGGCTTGGGCGGGCAGTGCCGCGGCGACAGCGGCGGCCCCATGTTTGTGCGCGGCAAGACGGCCGCCGACGACATGCAGATCGGGGTTGTGAGCTGGAGCTACAAGGACACGGAGCTCCCCTGCCAGGAGCTGCCTGGCGTTCTAACTGATGTGGCAGACGTGCGGCGCTGGATCGATGCCTCCATTCGCATACTGACCCAGCCACTGACCGGCAGCGGTGAGGATCGTGCTGCCTGCTGCCAGCGCCGCATGATTTCAGCAGCACTCGCCAGCCCAGCTGGCCTGGCCCTTGGGCCTCCCCGAGAGGTGTGGTGCCTGCAACTCCTGTGCAGTGACGGATGATCGGGTGGTTTGCGGGTTCAACAAGATTCAGTTCAAGACAGCCAAGCCAGCAAACAGCTGGCTGGATGTGAGCTCCCTGCCGGCTGCTTGTGGCGTTGTTGCTGCGTGTTTTGCGCTGCATGCTGGCTAGAGCAGCCCCATGTTGGGATGATCCCTCTGCTGATGGGATGGCTGCCCACGTTGTTCCCTCGACCCACACCCCACAGATCCTCCACTCGCGTGGCGGCTTCAAACTGGATGCCTGGCTTGTGCGCCACCCTGACCCTGCCGTGGTGAGCGCAGCCGTGGATGTCTTGATGTGATCTGCCCGGCATGCAGCCTGGAGCCAGGGGTTTGCATTGTGCCGGGATCTGTGAACTGGCTGGGTTGCACCTGCTGCCGCCGCCGCCGCCTGCAGAGCGCAGTGTTCATGCAGCGAATCGTGTTTCAGTGGCACGACCGCGTTGTGGTGGCTCTGTTGAAGGACGGCCGGCTGTCGGGTGCGCTGCGCGGCTCCATGCATGTTGCTGGCAGGCGGGCGGGCATCTGCCACTACCACTGCTGCTTGTCCCCCGCGGCTAAGAAAGGCCTTCTTTGAAGGCGCTGGAGCTAGTGTCTAAACCCTCCGAGAGGGCACAGGTTCGATTCCTCCCATGTCGAAACTTTGTGAGGACAAACGCGGCATAGCTGACCGGCTCAGCGCCAATCCAAGCCAATTCCTTCGGGAACGCCTAATAGAATCGCCAAGGCTTCGGCACAGGCCTCCCCGGGACCCATTCACTACTAGTGGGGGGTACTGCACTTGGCGCGTCATGCAGATCAAATAATGGTCTAAAGCTAGACGTTAAAACCGGGAAGTTAAGCCTGTGGAGGCTCTTCCCCACCTTTACCTTTACCTTTACCTTTGTCTGCCCGTTCCTCTCTCATGAAGGAACCAACCCTGTGCTGGCGCTCATCTCTGCCCCCCTTTACCTTTACCTTTTACCCAACGAAGTGCAGTGACGCTCAATGGGAAGGTGGTGCCCCCAGGAATCACTACATCCATGTCGCGTGGCTCTGTGCGCTTCAATGCCAAGGTGGGCTGGGCCCAAACGCATTCCCTGCCTGGCTTTGCACGCTGGGGAGGCAGCTGGCGCCATGGCACCCTGCTTGCAGCGCTTCTGCGCCCTCCCCTCCAGCCTACCCAGTCTCACTCCTGCCTGACCCCTTTCTGTGCAGTCCGGCGCGAGCCCTGAGATCATCGTTGTGCAGCCCAGGCTCAGCATCCGCATCGTGCGTGCCGGTGGCATCGAGGTTGGGCGCTCCCAGGCCGCCAGTCAGAGCGCCGGCGCCCGCACACCCTGGCTGAATGCGTGGGTGACCCTGACCAAGCCCCCTCCGGTCAAGCTTGGCGGCGTGCTAGCTCAGACCCTGCCCGCCATCCTGCAGCCCCGTGTCTAGGGCCCAGGTCGTGCCCAGCTGTCCTACGGCATCCTCTCCCTACCCACCAGTTGCCTGCTCACTGCGGCTGGTTAAGTGCTGGCAGCTTGGAAAGCGCTGGGCAGCGCTGGGCGCTGGCTCCGTTTTCCAAGCCAGCCTGATTTGCATAACTGATGCCCTGCACATGCTCATCCCATTTTAACCGATACAACCTGCTTGATGTCACAGATCACTTAACCGCTGCCCTGCTCGTGTGAAGGGACATACATTCTTCAATGCAATCTGGCATCGTGTGGGTGGCGTGCTGGGCCCATGCCCCTTTGGTATTTTTTGGTGTGTCAATACATGCCCGGTGCACGTACTGCCACCCACGATCTGTCAATACATGCCCGGTGCCGCCACCCAGGAGAGCTCCATGAGCAAGGATCCGCTGCGCGCGTGCTGCAGCGGCCAGCTGCCCCGCATGCGCCGCCGTCGCTGGACGTCCCGCAGCGGCACCACGGCGCTGCCCTGCACACACAGCAGGCAGCGGCGGATTCACTGTTCGGTCTCACTGCTCACCAGTGTCACCAGGAGGCAGCTCCCAGAGCTGGTTTGTCCGTGCATCTGCAGCGCTGGTCACGCCCGGCAGCCACTGCGGTGCGGCTCACCTTGAAGCTGTCGGCACGCAGGAAGTGGGCGGCCCACACCTCCAGCTCTATCTGCGAGCCCTCTGCCGCCGCCGTGTCGCCATCCACAAGCAGCTCTAGCCTGGGGGGCAGGGCGGGAGCGCAGGAGGCACACACAGGGTCGAAAGTTCAGACGGCAGCAGCAGAGGGGGCTGGTGTGTGGAGCCACGTGGCGGCTCTGCGCTGCCTGCCCAGCTGGCTGGAGGCCACGGCTGAAGAGCAGCGGCAGCGGCAGTGGGCAGCAGCTGAAAGGAGGCGGATGGCAAGCCCCAGAACCCCACCGCACCTCTCATCAAACACTGGGTTGCGCCTGTGCTGGAAGGTAACCTTGCCGCGCTCGGTCACCCGGGAGATGCTGCCCACGCTGACCTTGACCTTGCTGCACAGCACAGCACAGCACAGCATGCACAGCATGCATTGCACGGCGTGCAGCAGCGACCGCAGCAGGCACACGAGCAGGGCGGCACAGTTCAGGGGCGCGGGGTGCTGAGCAAGCAGAGGCGCGAGCCGCGGCGGGACAGGCAGGCAGGCAGGCAGGCGGGACGGCAGGCAGGATACTATCCCTATATATAGCTAGTAGCTAACAGCGGTTGCCAGCAGGCGGCAGCACACTATTTTTTGGTGAATCCAGCCTGGCCCATGGTCGACAGCCCCTCGGCCTTCTCCAGGTGGATGGTCAGCACGCCGCTGCAGGCAGGAAGAAAGAAGACACAAAGAATGGTCAGCAGGTGGAAAGAAAGACAGACGCTGCCCGCCAGCCAGCAAAGCCAACAGGGCAGCGCAGCGCTGCCACTGCCTCGGGTGCATGTTGCGTGGGTGGAGCAGTCCCCTGCAGCTGCTCGCCCACCTCCTCAGCAGCTCCGGCACGCGGGACACCCGGCTGAGGCGGCGCATGATGGACACGATGCCGGGGCGGCCGGCCGACATGGCGGCGTCGATCTCCTGGCGCGTGAAGGGAGCGTAGCTGAGGCGCACGTGCAAAGGTAAAGGTAAAGGTAAAGGTGGGGAAGAGCCTCCACAAGCTTCACTTCCCGGTTTTAACGTCTAGCTTTAGACCATTATTTGATCTGCCCGACGCGCCAAGTGCAGTACCCCCCACTAGTAGTGAATGGGTCCCGGGGAGGCCTGTGCCGAAGCCTTGGCGATTCTATTAGGCGTTCCCGAAGGAATTGGCTTGGATTGGCGCTGAGCCGGTCAGCTATGCCGCGTTTGTCCTCACAAAGTTTCGACATGGGGGGAATCGAACCTGTGCCCTCTCGGAGGGTTTAGACGCTAGCTCCAGCGCCTTCAAAGAAGGCCTTTCTTAGCCGCGGCCTCCTGGCCCGGGGCCGGCATGCCCGGCAGCAGCGCCGCCAGGCGGTCGAAGGCGGTGGGGTGGCGCAGGTCTGGCTGCGTGGAGGAGGGCGCAACGCCGCGCCTGCGCCGCCGGAACAGCCCGCCCCAGCCGCGAGCAGAGTCCTCCCTGCCCGCCTCCAGCTCCGCGGCTGCCGCCGCCGCAGCGCTGCTGCCGGCTGGCCGCGAGGCGGAGGCGCCGCGCTGCCGCACCGACGGCTGCTGCTCGCGGCCCTTGCGGCGTGAGTAGGGGCGCACCAGCGGCAGCCAGAGGTCGGCGCTGGCCCCAGGGCTTGGGTCTAGTGTGCCCAGCGGCACAGAGGCTCGCCCCACCTCCTCATCCGGCAGCAGCGCATCTGCGGGGGGGGAGGCAGCAGCAGAGCAGGCCAGGGGTGTGGGCCGGCCGAGGCGCAACAGAGGAGGAGCAGCCCAGCTGCCGCTTTCCTCCCGCCGGGCCCCCGCTTTCCTTCGGCAAGCTCCACATGGCGACCATTTGCTTCCCACTCGGGCCCAACACTATGTAATGATACCTAACCACGCTATGTAATAATACCCCCCTCCCCCTCCCCCTAACCCCTCACCAGAGTCGTACACAACCAGGGTGAGGGCCTGGTAGCGAGCGGAGTGCACGATGAGGGTGAAGTGCTCGTCCCAGGTGGGGTTGAGCGTGCGGCTGCGCACGCTGGTGGTGAACTTGGTGGCCTCCCGCACCCACAGCCTGCGCCAGCGGCGGAAGCGGGGACGGGGCTTGCGGCATGGCAGCAGCAGCAGCAGCAGCAGCGGCGGCGGCAGCGGGCTTTGCGTCTGCGGCATGGCAGCAGCGACGGCGGCGGCGGCAGCAGCAGCGGCGGTGGAGTCAGCGGCAGGGCTGTTTGGCAGCGGCAGCAGCGGCCGCCGACCTGACATATGGGTCGGCCTTGCCCCCCCAGAAGTCCATGCGAGGCAGGTTCACCGCCTGCACCACCTGCACCTCCAGCAGCCCCTCCGGCTCCTGCACCGCGCAGCATGGAGGAAAGTCGCACCGGCAGTGCTGCTGCTTTCGGGGTGAAGAAGCGCAGCGCCGCCTTGCTCGCAGGCAGCCTGCAGGCCGCCTGCTCAAGCATCCACTCTGCTGCGCTGCGGTGCGCTCAGGGAAGCGGCACCGCGGCCGCTCGCCTGCCGCGCCGTCGGCACGTCGGGAGCGAAAGGCAGGGGCAGGTTGTATCCTCCAGGGAAGAGGAAGGGTGCCAGCAGGGAGCTTCGGATGAAGGAGCTGCAGGGAGCAGAGGGAGCGGCGGAGACGAGGTGCCGGCTTTGGGCGACGAGCTTCACAGAAGCCACGGCGATGGCCAGGCAACACGGGCACGCCTGCACACCGCGCCCGCGGCCATCCTGGCCGGCTGCCTGCAGCTGCGCCTCACTTGATCCACGCCTCCACCCCCGGCAGCACAAACGGGTTGCCCCCAAACACCGAGGTGTGGTAAGAAAAGTCGGGGGGCCCCATCAGCGACAGGCGGGCCGCCCCCACCACCGGCAGCTGCTCCAGCAGCGGCGCCAGCGTGAGGCGCACCGCGCCGCTCACCACCACCTGCCGCACCCCGATCTGCACCCGGGGGGGGGGGGGGGGGGGGGGGTNAAAAAACCCCCCCCCCTTTTCCGTTT